TCAGTAAAGTTAAATAGGAAAAAAAATTTTTTTTTGCAAAGTAATGATCCAGTACAAGTTAAAAAATAGTAGAGACGATCAATGATCGAAGCGAATTGACGCGACGACGCAACGGTACCACCACCAACCAACTAAAAGCACAGCCACGAACTGAATTGCCAAAAACCTTGATACCGATCATTGAAAAGCAAAAAAAAAAAAGAAAACAACGCAAAAAAAATTAGCAGCGCAAAAAAATTGCCAGCGTCCAAAAGAGCCAAAAGCAGCTAACATAGATTGACGAAGTTAGTTGTGCGGCAGGCGGTAGTTTTACGTTTACGTACCCACACTTACAAACGAACACATAAAAACCAAAACCAAATTCAAAATATGTGCAAAAAATTAAAAAAAAAGAAAAGAATAATAACAAAACTCAAACACATCAAAAAGTGTCTATAGAAATATACTGGTGATTATATGTAAAGAAGCAAAATACAACAATCAAAAAATAAAAATGTAAAGAGAAATATGGCAAAAAAAAAAATCAAAAAAAAAAATTTGCCAACAAAATTATAACATGTATATGAACGGGAGTAATAGACGCAAACGTCAACGCAAACGTAAACGCAGCCGTAACCACAGATAAATTCAAAATCGCTGTCGTCGTATACATTAACGCCAATACTGAAACGCAAACATTGGCGTAGACAACGACTACGCAGCTGACAAATCGTCTGTTACGAATAAACTTTGCCGCGCTATACGTCATTATGATCTGCTAAATATTTGCCATGTTCGTTTGTCTGTTAGTTTGTTTGGCTGTGTATTTATCTCTGTATAGTTTGTCGGTTGATTTGTCTTTTAGTGGCGCATTTCAACAGCGTTAGCTGCGCGCCAACCAAACGATCAGCTCCCTTAAAGTGGCGTAAAGTAAGTAAAATAAAAAAGAAATTTAAAAAAAATTTGAGAATAAAAAACGCAAAACCAAACGACCGACTGACTGACTGATCTTCATAATGTTGTTAGATGTGCCAAAGCATTTGATGTTGTTGTTGTTGGTACTGCGAATTTTTGCTGCTCTTGTATTTGTTACCTTATGTGTACTCAGTTTTCTATGTATTTATGATACGACGACGACGACGACTACAGCAACGTTGTCGTAATTTTTTATAATAACAATATTAAAAAGAAACAAAAATTTTTTATACAAAATAAAAATTCAAAAAAAAAAAATAAAAAAAAAAAACAACTCATATGAAACATTTAAACTGGGCGAAGCAAACCATAAAAAACTTTGCAAATTTTTTAGTTAGTTTTTTGTTGTTTTTGGTTTTCGATTTTTTTTGGCAAATGTTGCTGTTTGAAGGTCAACTTTACGACCCATAAGCGTAAGTGAATACTGTTCTGTTTGTTGTTGTTGTTGTTGTTATTATTTATTTTGCTTGTATTGTTAACTTATAATTTTAAAACACAAATTTTTTTTGCTTAATATTTTTGGCAGTTTTTTCCTATATAAAAATATTGAGGTATTTAGTATTTTGTTAATTTTACAAAAATATTGTTAGTATGTGTAGGGCCAAATTTTTTTGCACACAAATACATTGACGCAAACTTGCACACATAAAAGCATATGCGCGAATTTTATAATTGTAAGTTCTGGTATGTTTTTTTTTGTTCGTTTTTGATTATTTTTAGTAGTCATTTTTTTTATTTATTTTTTATTGCAAATGTTTCTTCTTCGTTTTATATAACAGATCATTTTAATTGGTTAAAATATACTTTTCTTAGATATATTTTATGGCAAATATTTGGCAATACACGTTTTATTGCTTAGCATTAGAATTGATAGAATTTAATTTAGCGTAACGTCGTAAAATTTCGGTTTTTTAATGGACTTTATTACTTTTACAGATGTTCTCTATGATGTCTGTGCAAGATTATGGGTGTCAGTCGTTGAAATATAGCCGAAAATGGAACACGCATTACATACACAGATGCTGCCGAGTCAGGAAACAGAAATTAAATTAAATTGAATTAATGGAAGGGTGTGGGGTAAGTATTTTACTAATTTTACTTTATCTCAACATATATGAGAGTTTGATCTTAACCTATTAAGCTTCAATGGAAGCTATATCCAAATCAAAATTGATATGAATATTTTTTGCTAATATATCAAATAATATGATTATTAGTTACATACTAATCTTTTCTTTTCTTTTGTTCTATTTTTAAATACAACGTCTACGGTGTTCCTAAGCTCTTTGTGGAAAATGAAAGCATCATCGATTAAGTTATTTAAGTTCCGATTCTACACCACGGAGGTACTCTCCTTCCTCTCCCACCGGTAACCAAACAAAGGACAAGTGTTTCTACTACAACAACACTAATAACTTAATTACATATATTAATTGCAACAAATGAGTATTTGCAATCGTAAGTAGCTAGGTATTTTCATTACCCAGAGTGACTTCGACTGACAAGGGTAGTTATTCCAAATTTATATAAAAAATATATCAAAAAATGTATATGTGTATTATTCTATAAGCTTTTTAGCAACAGGAGCATCAAAATTTTAAAATTTAAATAAAAACTCTTTTAGATGATGCACTTTGCTTTTGTAAAGACTGCTGAGGGAAAGCGTAATATGAATTGTGATTACTAACACTAGAAAGAATGTAGAAGGTTTCCTTGAAAACAAGGAAATTGACTATATAATGAAATATTATCTCGCATAAGATTGTAATCAAAGTGAGACTTGGAATTTTTTCTAGATGTCCAAATTGTCACACGAAATTTCGCACTAAAGTTTAGTATTAGCATTTCTGTCACCAGAGCAGATTAAAAACTCTTTTCTAGATTTAGTTCTAGACTTTATTCACAAAGCTTTAAGGGGCTTTGTTTGATCAATAGTGAAACTGGTACAATAGGTCTCTTCTGGCCGCAGTACCGGCTGTTGGGCAATTTTCACGACTACTCTTTAATAATTAGTACTAGCATTTATTTCGCGCGAAAAATTGACACTCTATAACTCCATTCAACAAAATTTTCTACAAAGTCAAATTTTTGTGTACATTTTTATAAAATAATGTCAAAAAGAATTTTCTACAATCTAAAACTTTTGTAGAACATACTTTTTATACGGATTCTAATATCAATGAATATAAATGTATGTTAGTTGTAGGTCTAACAAAAAATAAGATTAACATTAAGTGCCAATTGTTCTCTTATTGTATAGGGATCGTCTTTCAAAAACCACTACCTACTTCTATACATTTCTACATTCTTAGTACATAAGCACTTTAATATCAAAAGAGTTTATAACATCCCTGTTACATATGAAACAGTTTTTGTTAGCAACTTGTCCACTTTTTCATTCCTTTTCCCTGTTTTAAGTGGTTTTCGTCTAATAGCATGGTTATTGCTTTAATTCACTTAATAACTATTTTTAAAGTTCGGAGTTAATAGCAGTTCTAAATTTATTTTTATTAATAACTATTATCCAATTATTAATTATAAATTATTTTTATACTCATTATTTTACTGATATTCTGTGAATTCTGTTAATAATATATTTTTATTGATTTCTCAAATTACATCGCACGAGATTGATCAATGATCGCCGTAGTCACACTTTGTGTGCTTTATTCATTTACTGTAGAAATTACCTGATTTTTTTATGTATTATTCACACACCTTATTCCACAAAACTTATATTTATCAATGTAATTATCACTTAATTTATTAAAGAAGTTATATATTTTTTTAAACTAATGTTCTAGAATTGCAAATTTTTTAAATTTTATCAAACAAGAAAAAAAAATATTAGCAATAGCAATTAGAAATATATTACAGCACAGCATTACACCTCGTGCCGCTTAGAATTGAACTGAACGCACACGTTTATAGCGGGGCAAGTAAAATTCTTTTGATTACGAAGTACTACATAGCAGCAGCAGCAGTAGTAGCAGCAGCAACAGCAGCAGCAACAAGGCAACTATACCAACAACAACATGAATATACAATAACAAATTGCTAAATAAACAGACGAAAAATATGTTCTGCAAACTGAAAGCAACAAAAAAATGGCAAACGTTTACGGCATTTGAGAGATCAAATTATAGTAAATAATGAAAGAGAGTGCACGACATAAAAAAATCGTCGTTTTCATGGTTGTTGTTGCATTCGTCGTACAAGCAAAAATATAATAATTTTATCTCTCCTTAGAGTGTAAAAAATAAAACTAAATTGTGTATAAAGCCAAATGGTGAGAAATAAAAAACAAAACAGCACTATAGTAATGCGAAAATTAGGACACAATCAACAACAACGCATTGTATTACGAAGCAACAACACCAATAACAACAACAACAGCAGAACAGCAAAACATCACTACACAACAGCCAGCAATGAAACACAAGAGCATTATCAACAAACGTTAAGTGGCGGCGGACAACGCGAATATGTGTGCAAAAATTTTACACGAAAAAAGAACAACAATGACAACAACAAAATTTGCCATTAGAAAGCAAAACGGAGTGAGCAAAAAGCTTGGAGTAGGCAGAGCAAAAATGCTAATATGTATATGTTTTTCTTTTTTTGCAAATAATTTGTATTTAACCAGAAAGAGCACAAGAATATGTAAAGAGTAGCAATAGCACAAGCGACGACAGAAATGAGCATGACTGAAAGAGCTTACAGAACATGCGAGCAGCATAGAATTATTTGAAACGCAAATTTTGCGGAAGATCACGGTGAACAAAAAAAAAAAACAAACTTAAGCTTGTGTGTATTCATTTATCTGAGTGCAGCCAAACATGAAAGTGAAAATTATGGCCAATGTTTATTATCTTAACATATATTATTTAACAGTGAATTATAAATAATATTAGATATTTTGTTATGTGATAATTATCAGTAAAATTTATTAATAATTAATTATTAATTAATTTTTAAACAATCATTACTCGTACTGGCAATGTGAGATACACATGTTCTAATCTATTACAGTAAAAGCCATTCTATTTCCGATTTAAAACTCCAGCTACGGTTAATCAAAATATTATACCTCTTGTTCTTCCCTTGTTCTTCCATTGTTTATTATTATAGTCCTATAACCCATTGCACCATCTTTTAGAACATGGGTAAGTAACGTTTATCTATTGCATGTCTATTTCTTGTTGACGCTCTCCAATTCCTCTCCAAAAATGTGTTTAAACATTGTAACTCTTGTTCTTCCTTAAGAACTCCATTTTTCATTATTATAATCCATTGCACTATCTTTTAATACATACATAAGTAATCTTCATCTATTGTATGTATATTTCTTTCTGACACTCTCCAATTGCTCATTCACAATGTTTTCACATCGTTCCAAAGTACAACGATCCATACCTTTCTTATTGAACTATATTTGCGTGTTCACAGGATAAAGCATCCGAGTACTTTCTGTTATTTCTTGCTGTCGTTATTTAATTGTATACGCGCGGTGTTCTCATATCTTTCCAAAGTACATTGATCCAACTTATTCCTGGTCATCTATTTTTTTGTTTTCAGAGTATTTCACATTTGAATATCATCTGTTGATTTCTTTTTGTAGATTATATATAAGTAAGTTATATTCTACCTTTTGAGAGTCGGTCCAGCTTAGATTTATAGCGTCTTCCGTATATAATCTGTACTTAAACGAAAGCAATTGTGCTTGGGAGCTTTTTTCGCATGAATATAATAACTTTGTTGACCTATTTTTTTATAATTCTTTGCGTTTCTATGTCACTTTGATAAAATAGAATAGAATAGAATAGAATAGAAGTTAGTTTTAAAAAATTATGTTATAAATGGCTAGTGATAAAAGTACTGCGCTACATATTCTCTATTCTAAAAAATAATAAATTTTTTTTGATACTGTATTAAAAATTACAATTAAATTAAGTTAATAAACGTGTCCATGTTTCATAATTGTTTTGTCGTCACCTTAAATGAAGAACGAGCCACGGAGTACATATTGTATTCAACTCAGTTGGTTTCGAAATACCCAGTTTGGATTATCACACTAATGATGACATTTAAGAGCATTGGTTAAGAGCTACTGATCTATCAATGACTATGATAAAGAAAGACAAAACACAACTCTAACAAATTACTAATTTTACAAACTTGGAGTTTCTGGTTTACCACCGACTGTGATGCTAAGGAAGAAGTAGACTAGTACCACAAATATTTATTAAGCCTTCACTAAGTCGGTTCTTTTGTACTTTCTTTTGCTTTGGAGTTTAGGTGTAACAGTTAAGTGACTGAGTGCTCTGATTTTATAGCATGCGGCGCATTAGTTAAGTAGTTACCGATCTATAAATGTCCATGATAAAGGAACACAGAACAACAGAAGTACCTGTATAATATCCTGAAGAATATAGAATACCTTATTTAGGAGTTCCTGGTTTATCAGTGACTGTTATGTCTTCACTGAGTCTGTAACTTTTGTATTTAATGTAAATTACAAGATAGGCATGAGTGATAGGTACATACTAACTATACTTCACTAACTAAAATCCGGTCCATTAAACTTTATGGTTATATCTAAAATTGGTGTCATTATTTTTATTGCTAATTTATTATTTATTGATTCTGTTTTTTCCTATTAGGCGAAAAAAAGTAAATTTCGCAACTATTCAAATCAGCTAACCTGGCTGATTGGCATCTGAAATCCATAATCCAAAATCTAAATTAGTTCGATTGTTAGTCATTAATTTGGTTTCTGGTGGTTACTAGTGGTTTCTTGTGGAGTTGTTGCCTTTCGGCTTACATTTACATAAACCTACATACGATTTTTGGAAGGGCGTGTTCACATTTAAAACTTTTTGATCGAAACAAAATATTTTATGAATGTTTTGCTAATGATTCGATTTGCCTCTAAAAATTTTCGCAAATTCGAATTCATGCAAAATCCGCGATTAAAAAAATTTGTGCGATTCGAAGGTTTGTGCCTCGAAGCGTTGTGCTTTATGAGCGAATATGCTAATCGCGGTATCTATGGGATACTCGCATTCGGTTTTATGCTTTGTGTATCTATTAAAGCGGCTAATAAATATATTGTGTTAAGGTAGTAAAATAACTCATTTACAAGCGCTTTTGTGTTTTAGTTTTTTGCCATTTAATGACGTGCATAAATAATAAAATTTATATTTTTAGTTGCCTGCTTCGCACTGCTGTTTGATTTTATTAGCTAATTTTTTAGTTTAAATGACGTTATTAATTTTAAATAAAGTAAAATCTATCTAACTAGTAACTATGTTCCTTTTAGAGTGTTGGAGAAAACCTTGACACACTGTATTAGTTGCATTTCAGCGTATCAATATAAAACGTACTTAGTTAAAACTAGACAGAAAAAACAAAAAAAAAAACAAAATATTAAAAAACTATATAAATGTATATATATTAAATACAAATAAATATAGAAAATAAAAACAAAAACAAAAATCAAACTAACTGCAAAAATTCAACAAAATAAAACTTACAAAACCTCATTGCAATAAGCGTGAGAACCAATAAAATCAGCGGTTTTCGTTCGTATGAAAAAAGTATCTAGATACGGGCATGTGTGTAACTGCAATTGCATAAGTGCCGGTGTATTTGTGTGTAAAACCCATGTAAACGTTTTACAACGTTTAGCGTTAAACACACCTTCCCTTTTAGATTTGCTATGAAAAGATACAAAAGCAAAAACCTAACAAAAAAAACATTGCTAATTCCAGTCCCAATGTCAATTTGGCACGGCGCTTGGCTTTGGCTCGGCTAGGCTGTTTGGCATTTCGTGTTGCCTCAATATTTGTGGTATTGAAATTGGCTCGGAGTTAGATATTTTTATGTTGCGAAAAATCCACTTGTAGGCAACATCACAACATCACAACATCATAACATCGGCGTTAACAGTGTGAACACCGCTCAAGCGCTTCGCCCGTGTGGCACGTAATGTACGCAGAACCTTGCTCCGACAGTTGGTCCATATTTGGCGGCGGTGTTAATTGCAAGTACAAATGCCTCAAATGCTGAAGTTTCCAGCTTAGTTTTAGGTTTTCGCTTAATTGGAAAAATATAAATCAAGACAGATATTTTATATTAAACACATTTTTATTTTTTGTTCAAAAATTCTAAATTAATTGGCAACGGAGTAAAAAGTTCAGGGTCGCGGTAGCAGGTAGAAACTCTATTACTTTAATTAATGTGTAACATGAATTTATATGTAAAAATTGTTTTTTATTTCTATTTAAACAAGTTTTTAAATATATCTAATTTTTTGAAAATTTGCACAAAAAAAACTACTTTTTATAACATTAGCAAGTTGACCCCAAGCATTTATAGTAACAGCTCCAAATTTGGCAACGTATTAGGTAGTACAGTTTTCTAAGAGAAACTGGATATATCCAAACAACTTAGGACGAAATGAAGTATATGTGGTCAATTAACATATGTCATTTCGATGGTCAGTTGGTTGTTAGTGACTATAATTTTAAAGCTGTTAAGGATCTACGAAGTTAAGGTCTAAGAAGAATCATTACAAATATGTAAGACTAGATGCCAATAAGCTAAGAAAGCAACTGAGGTATAGAGCTATTTCTCGGCCGAAAAGATTTACGCTCTAAAGGTTACCTATGCCACTAGAAAGGTTAAAGGTTACATAAGGCTAAAAAAGCAACTAGGTTTGGAGCTCTACGAATTGGCGATGAATTCCACTTTCGAATGAACCACTAGCAATATGATTTTTATAATGACTTTGACAATATAAGCAGAGTGTAAGTCCATGTTTTGGTAAGTCATACCGAGAGGATTAAGGATGGCGCTCCATCAAAAAAAAATATTTGGAGCAATAGTTAAAGAGGATTTATGCATGGGATGATCATGTAATGAAGCAAAGACATCTGGAGAGAAGTGTTAAGTCAGGCTCAACCCAGAAATAGGTTTTGTATGAAACTTAATGTACGAAACAGGAAAAGCATGAACCGAACAGAAATGCCTGAAGGGGAAAATTTATTTAAAGTGAATTTCGAAAGCAGGTTGTTAGCGTCAACCTAATAAGCTAAACATTACATTGAAGTTGATAACACGTTGAATATAAAATTTAGCTGCTCTAACGATGTGCTCTAAACAGCTTGAATACAATTTAAAAATCCTTGCTCAGATCATATTTGAACAGTCAGAAAGAATGTTATTAAAAGCCACATCAATTTTCAAGTAAAGTCGATATGATGTCTTCTTATACAGAGTTAACTGTAGGTCATGGCAGGTCTACCAACAACCTAATGCTGTACTATATATTTAGTAGAGGTAACTTATAGCAGTTAAAAAAACGAACTGCTCTTTAACAAGGTAGCTATGTAATGGAGTTACTTATTAGAAGATTTTCATTAGTTGTAAGAGTTAATCATAGAAATCATTCCGAGTTCGATTATTTGCTTTTCTTTGCCGGCACATTTTCGGTGTCACAACAAACCTTTTAACCTAAGATACTTTAAATTATGTAGCTATCGTTCAATTTTCATCAGATCCTTCGGATCAAGTCACTCCAATACCTGACATATATTCTATTTATGTTTATTGTCTTTATAGAAGACCTTAGGGTTTAAAATCAATTCCAACATTTAATAAAGTAAAGCATACTTTTGAAGGAGTGTAGGTCTTCAGTGTGTTTAATCAGCGTTGCATAAGCAATTTAACGGAACATAAGGGCATCACCATCTTGACTTTTCCGCAGCTGGGATAAGGTATTGGAAGAGAAATTCAATTTTTTAACCTTTATTTTTAACTGAGAGTAACTCAGCTGCTAATACAACTTGATATTAATTTCTCTATGGAGGTTCTTAATGACATTGTTAGATCATTCACATTTAAAAGGGGTCACTATAAGTAGGCAATATCTATGTTGTTAATCCTTCCTATTTTCTATGTAGTTTTTCTATACAGGAAGATTTCAATCTAGTTTCTTCATGTGTTACAAATGTGTCTTATCCAGCTTGTAACTGATACCTCTGTAACCACGAACCTAGAGATTAGAGTAAGTTTTCAATTCAGTTTTTATTAATTGGGTGCAATAAATTATATACAATATCAGAACTAAAAGGTGTGTCATGGTAATTAGTTCCTATACGCCCATTTACATAAAATAGAAAATAATGAGCATTTTATTTTTCTATCAATAGACAATAACTCACTTGTTTTAAAAATGTTTGAGACTTTTATTAAAATTTTTCTTATTAGCAGACCAAGTACCTATAGTACTATTGTCTTCTATTACTGCAGAGTCCACTTTATGAATATTAAATAGTTTTACTCTTCCAAAAATTTTCTATGAGGTCTTCCTGTGTCATATGCTTAGAGAAAATTTTCAATTTAAATTTTACGGACACTAAAGATTTACTTTTACATTAGGCCAATAAATCATCCACCTAATGGATACTTTCTAACTAGTACCAAATTTTGACAACGAAACTAATAAAAGTCCTCAATACATAACTCAATGGTACATTAGCGAATAACTGTAAGACCGTAAATTTTCCAACTATTATCTTTTTTTTTTGTAATTACAAGATATAATTTTGACACTTCAATTGAGTAGAAATTTTTTTCTTTTTGTTTTTGTAGGCCAGGTGAATGTACTTGTTCGCTTACATGTGTTGATCATTATTTTCAAGAATTGGGCTTACAGCAGCTATGTACCGTACCCGTTGTTGTTGTTGCTTTAATAAATGATTTTTTTTTCTTCGTGCAGTACTTAATTTTCGCGTGCGTAGGTTTCATCCATTCAAACAACATCCATTGAACTCAATGAGTACTGAGTACTTTCCGCACGAAAGATATAGAAATATAGTTTCGACTTTTTTGTTTTTTTTTTGTTTTTTTTTTGTACTGTACTTTTCAGTTATGAGCTTTCCCTTGTTGTGCAAATATGCCTTCAGTCACTGCATTGCCCCGCAGTCTTCTCTGCTTCAACGCTTACAACTTGCGTTACCATCACACATTACATGCCACATTCGATCCACTTCAATATCTTTTTTTTTTTTTTATTTTTTTTACTAATAATTTTTTTTTTGTTTGGCATTCAATTTGCGCGATTTTTATAGCTTTTAGGTTTTTTTTTTTTCATATGATTTTGCTTTACTGTTTGTTTTGCGGGGTGGGAGAGTATGTTAGGTTGGTTAGGTTTTTTCATTTAATTTTTTATTTTGTGGATTATTACAAGCGTCATGAGTAGTACGCATCTGTCAGATACTCGTGCTCGTATTCGTACTTGTGTTGTAGTTGCGTTAGGTACTTACATGTGCGCCACTTATGAGCACTTTACAACGGTATTTATTGTGTTTTTTCATTTTTTTTTTTCTATTTTTATTTTTACTTTT